TTTTACTAACTTATGCTTGCTTCTGTGATTTTAAACAGTTTCAGATGGACTTCAAAAGCGCATTCTTGAATGGTTACATCAAAGAGGAAGTATATGTAGAACAACCTCCAGGTTTTGAGATCCTCACAAGCCTGATCAGATATATACTCTCAAGAAAGTATTATACGGTCTCAAACAAGCACCATGTGCTTGGTACGAAAGACTGAGCAGCTTTCTGGAACAAAATGAATTCACAAAAAGTAACGTAGATATTACCCTATTCATCAAAAGAAAAGGTTAAACAAATCGAAAATGGCACCTTTCTTTGTTAAGAAAAGTATGCCAGGGAAATTGCGAAAAAGTTTGGTATGACGGAAACTCCAATGTCATATTCCATTAAACTAGATAGGGATGAAAAAGGAAAATCAGTAGACAAAAAATTATATGGAAGCATGATTGACTCACTTTTATATTTAACTACTTCAAGACCAAATATTCTGTTCAGTGTTTGTTTGTGTGCAAGATTTTAGTCAGAACCAAAGGAATCTCACCTTACTGCAGTCAAACGAATTATCAAATATGTGGTATTCAAAAGGATCAAATTTTACTCTCATTGGATATTCTGATACTGATTATACTAGTTGTAAGATAAACAAGAAAAGTACTTTTGGAACGTGTCAATTGATAGGACACATGCTTGTTTCATGGTATTCAAAGAAGTAGCAAACCGTAGCTCTTTCTACAGCAGAAGTAGAATACGTCTCATTTGGAAGTTGTTGTGCTCAAATCCTTTGGATGAAGCAACAATTGAGAGACTTCAACGTCAAAGACTCAACTGTGGAGATCAAGTGTGACAATACCAGCGCCATTAATCTGACAAAGAATCCTATTTTGCATTCAAGAGCTAAGCATATCGATATTAAGCATCATTTTATCCGAGATCATGTTCTAAAAGGAGATATTAATGTTCAATTCATAGACACTAAATAGCAATTAGCTGACATTTTTACTAAACCCCTAGAAAAGAAAAGTTTCGAGTTTATTAGAGATAAACTAAACATTATTAACCCGCTTTATTGAGCTAACTCATATTGCATCTGATCACGTATTTGATCAAGCACATATTTGAAGCGTCTGATTTTGGCGCACAACTCATCTTATAAAAGATACGTATCTCTCATATATTTTGAATGATATGATTGTTTGAAATAAGTTGTCTGGAATGATACCATTTGGGAATTAAAATTCCAAAATTTTCAGAATACAATTTCCGAAATTTCCATTAACTGTCAATTGACAGTTTCCAAAAATGGTTTTATAAGAACCGAAATGTTGTATTTCTCGGTTTAAACCCTTCTTCTTCTCTCTCGTTTTCACTTTCTCACAAACACAATTTCCTCACTGAAATCCTAAAAATCCCATCTTTCTCTTCCGAAACTTCAAATATCTTCAATGGCGCCTAAGTCGACCTCTAAATTGTAGAAAGGAACCAAGGGCTCTAGAAGATCAAATCGTCTCGCTAGAATGTTCACTACGGCAAAACACGATGGAGAACCAGAGAAGATTGACATCTCCGACACGGGTTCTAACAATGAGTCGTCTGAAGGTAAGAAATCTCCGAGAATCCCTGTCTATGAGCGTGATCGTTTTGGTAGAGTAAGGCAACTGATAAAGGCCATCAAAATACTTCGAGAAAATTGAAGTGATCATAGCACTGTCAATGTGGTATATAAGACACTAGGTTTTTTGTCTGAATGAGAGGTTGTGGAAGAATATGAAAAATGTCTAAGGTTTAGAAAAACACCTGTTGCTGAAAAGGGCATTATACTTAAAGAGATATCTAGTGTTAAGGAAACCCCTACAATAGGAAAAAAAGGGATCTCTAGAAAAGGAAAAGAAAAAATAAGGTAATAGTCGAATGTTGGTGCAGATGAATTTGTTGGTGAGGAGGACCTTTAGACTGAAGAGAAAAGCAAGAACATTGACTCCAGAAAGGAGGACAATGACGAGAAATTATATACTGAATTTGTGCCTATATCTGGCATTCCCCCTGATGATAAGAAAAGAGATAGCTTGTTCAGAAACAAGACACATCAGATTACTTATAACTCTCTCTTAGCCAGAGGAGTCATGAATAATAGGGTAGTAGACTTCAATTTCTTCGAAAACTTCAATATCAAGATTCAGAAGCTGATTGAGAATTTTAATTTTTAGAGAATGTGTTCTCTCTCCCACAAGGTTTACTCTGAACTTACTGCTTACTTCTATTCCAATTTATCCTTCAATTCTCTACTGAGATCGAATTCTCTGTTTTTCTGCCATCCTAGGAGTAACGCATACTGAATTTTCTTTCATTCCTACTAATTCTGATTCGGCATACCGATCTTTGTCTGGTAACTCATCTTTTATCAGAGGTTTAACATCTCACGTATGTCATATTCTTTTTCCTCTCAACTCCATTGTATTGCACAAAATAATCATAAACTGTCTCAGATCCAAAGGATCCTCTAAAACTGATGTATCTAGATATGAGGCAAAGCTGATATGAGCAATTTAGAACACCTTTCCTATTTCTTTGTCCCATTTGATCCTTCTACAAATGTACAGATCTATCAAGAAGAGTAAAGGTCAACTTCCTTATGGAGCTCTGATTACTGCTATTTTTGAGTACTTAAAAATTTCTATTCCTACAAAACTCAAAGGCAAACTTCTTCAAAGCATGACTGTAGGGGAACTTATGATAACCAAAATAGGATATATATTTGATGGAGAAAGTTGGAAGAATAAAAAGGGTGAAATTGTTCCAGTGAAGCCGATGAGTGAACGAGAACCTCTAGTGAGAAAGAGGAAAGTGACGAAGATCGCCTCAAGATCAAACAGACTAGCAAAAAGGAGACAAGTTGTGGCCAGTGATTCTGATGAAATGGAGATATCGGATGAAAAATCTGATGTGCAATCTCAGGCTGATGCTCGAAGCCTTGAGGAAATAAGGTTTGTACAATGGCTACTTAATGAAGAAGCCAAACATAAAGCTCATGCAGACAGACATGCTGCAACTCAGCTAGAAATTCAAAGGCTGAGAGATGAGGATGAAAGCTTGATGCAATCATTAAGTGACCCTATCAACAAAATTGTGATGGAGAATCAGCAAGAGCAAATGATCAATGCACAAAAAGAAACTGAAAATATTCAGTTTTTTGAAGAAGGAACCTCTAGGAGACAGGGGGAGCTTGAGCATTAAACTATTATAGAGGCTGAAATGCAGGATGAGTATGAGCAAGATAATGCTCAAAATGTTGAGGAAACTAACTTTGAACTGGCTGACATTCAGGAGGAGCAAATTCAGAATGAGCAAGAGGCAGACCCTTCAGAAGCAACATCTGAAGATTTCCCTTTTGAAGGAGTTGAACATGAAAATGTTCCATCTGAATCTCAATAGAAAAGAAAAGAGAAGCAAGTAGAATTTGCTGACATTCAGACTACCAACACTCCCTCTGGATATGATATCTCATCATCTATGTCAGATCATGCAGCCATTACAGATCTGAGGTGGAGGCAAGCAACTGTTCAGAATGAAGTCAGGGAACTCAGAAATGAACTTAAAGAAGGAATCCAGGAGTTGAAGGACTTGATGGAAGCAAGAATAAACAATCTGAAGATACAAGTCAAAACTGACGTACAAATTGCAGCAATCCACACTGCAAACATTGAAGGAAAGTTAATCAACTCTCATCAAGTATTGAGCAACAATTGAACCAATTTTCCTGCTTCAGTCTAGTACAAGTGCCTTTCCCACTTGCATCTTTTGGACCTTCATCATCTAAACCCTCTGGACCATCAGTCCATCCAGCAAATCAGCCAAACTGACCAAATACTTCCCCATCGACTAGTCTTTCTGAGCTATTTGTTTCCGCATTTGATATTTGTTTTTGATGTGCTGTGATTTGGATGTTGGCATTTGGATGTTGAACTATTATCCGAAACTGGTTATTGAACTCTTATATTGAACTCTTATTGATTATGCTATTATCTGATACTAATCCTTTCTACTTATGTCATTAAGGGGAAGAAGTATTATACAGATTATGAATGCAAATGTTGGTGTGAGCGGCAGAATGAATTGTTATACTTTAATATTATGCTGGTTTTAGAAATTAACACTGCTCAACAGAGTACTTTGTTCACATAAATATTTTTGTTGAGCATATGGATAGTTTTGTCATCATAAAAAAGGAGGAGAATGTTGAGGAAAATCTCTAATTAATTTTGAAGAAAGACAAATAATCCTTTTCTGACCTCAATTACACTTAAGTTATTTGATGCAGGTAAATACTGAGTCATCAGACTTAGTCGATGAAAGGACTTTATTATCAGACTCAAAATTTCTCGTCAGATTCAATAAGTGTTATTTTTTGCAAGTTTATGCAGGACAATCAAATTGATATCTCAAGATATCCTAATTGGCAATCACAAGATCATTCCTTAAACACGAAGAACTACACTTATGAAAATCTTGATTTGATTGTATGGACAATCAAATCACCTGGAGATAATGGTTCTTCTTCTAATAGTTATGTATCTTCTTTTGGGAAGATTCTCCAACGGGTTGATTTGGAGATCAATCCTCTATAGACTGTCCAATGGATAGATTAGAAATAGAGGAGTATAAAAGGAGTGCAAACGTCGTACAAGAAGAATAACCAGAATTGAGAATTCCAAAATCTGAATAGAGCTTCGATCTTACACACTTGTGATTACTGTCTTCCACGTTGTTACTTTAGAAATAAAATTACTTGAGTGAAGAGTGTACGTGATAATGCAATCTATCATCTGAGAAGCACTGCTCTTGTAATCTCTTGATGATTCAATAGTGAAACATAGCCAATAGGCTGCCAGCGTGGAGAGTGAACGTAGGCTTGATAAAGTCGAACCACTATAAAGATCTGTGTGCAGTATTCTCTTTCCCTAAACTTTCATTTATTACTGTTGACATTATACTGCATACATATCTGTCAGACGAGTTCGTTAAATCATCATCATAGTCATTAGACACAATTATCTGACGACAACTTATATACAAGTTTGTCATACATATCCATCTAATATTGATCATATAAGTTGTTGACCTCGACTACATTCATTATGCACGTTTAAATCATTCAAATTGGTAAAATCACATATTCACCCTCCTCTAGGTGATAGCACTAGCCGTAACATATGTACATTGGGGGATACCTTCTTGAGGGTTAAGCGGTCTGATGCAAACTATTCTGGAAGAGGAATATTTGCTAGGTCCTCCCGATAAGGAAGTTGGTCCTGCGACTTGCCAGAATCGCCACATCCATGTTCGATAGCCATTGATGTCGCGTGCTTAACAGGGTCATCAATAAACGTCACGATAGAGTCCTTTCGGAAAGTTAAGTAGATCACTGCAATGATGTAGATGGCCATGAGTGGGAACACTAGGATTCCGACGAAAACATTGGCAACTTTGGGAAGACTGTTGTGGATTAGCCAGTCAACAAAGCCCGTACTGAGGTAGTAGATGTTGATACCGATGAGTCCCACTCCTAGGAACCACGAGATCACAATAATCTGCATCGACAGTCGCAAAAGATGCGGAAATAAAGGATTGTCATTTAGCTCATAATTCACATGTTCTTCTGCATTGCTCCGAGTTCTTCCATCTTTTTTAACTATTGGTATCTCTTTAGGACTTCTGAAATAAAGAATCGAGATCAAATCGTGTAAAGATCAGAAGACAAACTTACGTAGATTGAGTTTTTGTGGGGTCCCATCTTTGTTGCACTGCTACTGAACTTAAGGAGTGGGATAAGAGCAAACGGAAGCTCAAATGATAGTATCATCTGAGAAACAGCATTAATTGCATCATATAACATATGGAATCAGAATAAATTGCACACATATGGTCACCAAATGATGACAGAGAGAATTCAAATGTAGAAGTGGCAGGAGACTTTGGAATTTGCATACCGACGCGATGATGATGAGCCTACCGGCACCCGAAGATCCGCCGATGATAGAGACAATGAGACTCGGTGTAATGGCTATGCATCGAGTCAGTAGGTTTCTTTTCCATTGCTTCATTTTGAGTTCCAAGAATCCCTAAGCAATTATACAACACACAAACAAATTAGACTTGTTCGAGTGTTCACTTTAAACAGCTAATTGCATGAAATTTCTTAATTAACAACCTGCATGATGTATTGGCCTGCATAGGTTCCTGTGATTGTGGAGCTTTGTCCTGAAGCTAGCAATGCAATGGCATAAACCGTCGAGCTAGATCTACCCAACACATTCTGTAAAAACATGTATATAGGACAATAATAAGAGTCTTATTCTTAGCTATAAGGTTATGTTGTGGTCCAACTGGTTTATAGTCTCTGTTAGGAATTGGAACCTTGAGGAGGAATGCAGCGGAATTGAGAGTTAGATCGCCGCATCGACTTGCAATCTCGCTCGAAAGATTGTCGCTCGAGCAGATGGTGCCAGACACAGACACAACGGCGACGTTGATCAAGAATGCCATGAATAATGCGAACCCACTTTCTATGAGGAAAAACCGACAGGCATCCTGCAAAGATTGACGAGACAAAATCAAGAGTGCAGGTATTCTTTAGATAATTGCAAAAAAGGTGCATGTTAGAAAGCGTTGTCAAAAAAATTTCCCTAGAAACATGAATGTATAAAAAACGAATGGCAAAATTTTCATGTTGCTGTATTAACAAAAAGCCTGTCTGCAGAAATTGAGCGTACGCAATTGATAAATTGTATATTTTACTAACATAATTAGCAGAAACACAAGTTACAATAATCGAACGCACATCACACCGTCTAAAGAGTGGCCTTGCTTTTTTAACATGGAATAAGACCTTCACCTAAGAAAACTTTAAACAGTATTAAAGATGAAGTTAGGAATTTTGTACATTGATGCCTCGAACCGATCTCGGGACTTTCCTGGACAAAACCAAAGCAGAATGGAGGAACAAGTTGTGCCTGTTGACAAGCAATGGAAGTCTCAAATCTAAAAATGGCACAAGCAATTTCATGTATAAAATAGACAGTGTGAGATTTACTATAAAGTGATAGCATACGGCATCACGAGTGCGCCGAGCAAAGCGATGGCATCGCCGGTGGCGCTGTTCCCAGAGAGCTTGGGGATGAACATTCCCTCCAAGACCTTCGAAGCGGGAGGCTTCACGTAGCTCAGTTCGCCGAAGAAACAAGCCGCCATTAAGAATACTAATGTAGTTATCAGCAATTCCAGCTTCCGAATCTACCAACCGAACATTGAGAACGACTTTCTTAGTGGATCGAAACAATCATGGTACCGAAATTGAGAGCAACATCGAATTACATGACGGCAAAACAAATTCGGCCGTCGTCAAATTAGCGTGACTATAATATAATTGGCATTGGTAAGTCAAAGAAAATTAATACACACGTTCTTGATTAATTATATGGAATTCCAAGTAAAGTATACCCCATATCTCTGCAGGCCCAGAAGCACGAGCGTGCTGCAACCAGTAACCAAAACTCCAGCCCACACTGGGATGTGAAACAATATGTTAAGTGCAAAGGCTGTCCCAATCACTGCGTACATTAAATTGGTTGGTTAGTAAATTTAGTTATACTGGCAAATGCGATGGTAAGTAACTACGCACGACTATCATACGACGCATTCGATGAATCATCGAACAGAGAGGTTTAGAACTAGGGGACTGCGACGCGATTTTTTGATCCAGTGTTTCAAGATGTATTTGTGATATGCATGAATCAAAACTCTACTATGTCAGCTTGCGGATGCAGCTGTCTTTGAGTAAGGTTGAATAATTTAGAGATGAAAAGGTTGGATATGTTCTTGCAATCACATGTTTTGTGTTGATCTGCTCGAGATGACATTTTTCTATCTCCATCTTTGTCTCTATCTAGTGTTTGGTGAATGTAATCTATCTAAATAAGGGTAGCTGTGAAATTTCTCGCTAAATAATCAACAGTTGAGATATGTTAAGACATGAAAATGAGACATTGTGTATGTTCTGTTGTTACCCAAAAAAAAAAAAAAAGTCTGTCTACTTTTTTTTCTATTTTTGTGTAATAGAAAAAATAATCCAGTGATTGTACTGAACAGATTTGTGTAATATGGTACCTATGGTTTTTACTTTTTATTTTTGTATTGAAGCACACAAAAGATCAACATTTTGTTGAATTACATGACAACAAATGCTTTATTTTTCACTTATTAAAGTCATGTCGTTTATTTAGGGATAAATCTATTCTAAATCCTAACATTTATTGCGAAAGTGCAACCAAGTCCTAAAATTTTCAGATTGTGTAATCATGTCCTAAAATTGTCAAATTGATACAATCAAGTCTCTACTTTTGTTCAACTTGGTTAATGGACAATGCTAATATGCCTTTTTTCTATTACTTTCTTAAGAGATGTGCCACCCAAATGGGGCCCCCCAAGTGCTACGTCATAAAAAAAACTTAAAAAGAAAAAAAGAAAAAAAGGAAAATACATCCAAAAACCCTAAATTATGCCCATTGTAACACATTTACCCTAAATTTTTTTTGTTGTGACACCAAAAATCCTAACATATGCACATTGTGACACATTTACCGCAAACTTTTCTTGTGACATCAAAAATCCCAAACTATGCATATTATGACACATTTACCCTCGGTTAGGGTTATGTTAAAAATTTCCGTTAAAAACTTTGCCGTAGCGCGAGTTACTATTCATCGTCTCGAAGTTACTGTTCATCCTCTTCGACCTCGCGTTCGCTCGGCCAGAGCTCTTTTGAAGCTCGTCTGTCGCAGCCCACTGCCACCTGGACCTCTGAGAGCTTCGTCATAACTGCCGACCATGGCGGCCGTGAGCTTCGAGATCGGATTTGGCTTCGAAGCTCGCGGCCGCCATGGCCGCTCGAGCTCGAAGCTTGGCCATGGTGGCCGCTTGAGCTTGAAGCTTGGCCGAGAGCCTCTCTCCCTTTATTCAGATGATGACGAAGAAGAAGAAGATGATGACAAAGTTGAAGATGAAGATCCACTTCGGCCAAGCTTTGCCCTTAGGCCAAGCTTCGAGCTCGAGCGGACGCCATGGCCAAGCTTCGACCTCTCGCGGCCATGGCGGCTGCGAGCTTCGAAGCCAAATCCAATCTCGAAGCTCGCGGCCACCATGGTCGGCAGTTGTGACGAAGCTCCTGGAGGTCCAGACGGCGGTGGGCAACAACGAACGACCTCCAGAAGAGCTTTGGCCGAGCGAACCCGAGGTTGAAGACGATGAACAGTAACTCGCGATGAATAATAATTTTTTTGAATTTTTTTTGAAAAAATTTTCTAAGCGCCACGTTAGAGTTTTTAACGGAGATTTTTAACGTAACCCTAACGGAGGGTAAATGTGTCACAATGTGCATAGTTTGGGGTTTTTTGTTCCACAAAAAAAGTTCGGGATAAATGTGTCACAATGGACATAGTTTTGGGTTTTTGATGGTATTTAATAGGACAAAAAATTAAAAAGAAAAAAGAAAAAGAGGATAAAAAAGGATAAATATTAAAATATAAAAAGCTAAAAAAAATTTAAAGAATAAAGATAATACTGTCGATTATTTTACTTCGCCATGAGGCCGGCGGCCCTCGCATGGGTCAAGGCAAGGGCTTGCAAGCACTCCTCATGTCGCGCCGTGGCGGCAATGGTGTCGCCATGAAGTGGGAAATTTCACTAAATTGGAAATTGTTAAACTTCGTGCACTTGGTGTTGATTATAATTTTTTTATTTTCATTGTGGAGATTTGGTGATTGATGATATCATGTGGGGGCACAGATTTTGGCCAACAAGGCTACCGACTGTTTTAAGCATGTCAACGTCATAAAAGTCCATTGACACTTCGAGATGCAGATCCAAACTGCAACTGCTCCATTAATAAACCATGGACCAACCTTCAAACCTCTCTTCTGATCATCCTTACTACCCCAAAGAAGAAAGGCCCTTGTAAAGACATCTTAACTCACCCATCTCAGGAGTATGTTCATCTCCCTCCCTTGCAGGACTTTTGGTACACTTCCAATTATAAGTTAATATCTTAACCCTATCCTCAGATGTTGTAAAGAAACACCCCATCCTTAGGCCAGTAGAAGGAGAAAAGCATAAAGAGTGCGAACTCGATATGTGTGGATGGAAAAAGTTGATGCAGATATATGACAACTAAAGAATGGTTCATAAAAGGAAATATAAGATACCGAACACGAGTTTCATGACCTGATATGATAAAAGGCGGGATCATTCGTTCTATAAAGAGTGCACTAAATGTCTATTAAATCGAGAGAGAGAGAGATACCTTCAGGTATATCGGCGGCTATAACTGCCACTTCAGCCAAAAGCCATAAACAATACTTCACCATCAGTGGGTACTCGACCTTACATAGCTCAGCCAGGTGTTTGCCTGAAATTCCGAAATATTTAGAAAAGATAAGTCAATGATCTCAGTCAAGAAAATGCAAGAGTGTTCATGAGCAGGAAAAATAGTCATAAATTTTTCCTTATATTTCTTAAACAAATGATTACCTGTGGTCACTCCGAGATTAGCAGCTAGCGATTGGATGATGAGAGCAAATATCAATCCAATGAGTATAACCCACAGAAGCTGACCATATGATCCAACAAATTATAAAAAAAATTGGCACAAAAAATTTATGGATACATTATATAATTGTATAAGTATGAACATATATACTTTGTGTATTGGTGTTCTTTTGTGTTACCTCGTATTCATGATTCGCTCCAGCTTGTAGATCAGTTTCCACTGCAACATCGATTGTAGAACCATGAATTCAACACGAACTCATCCAAACGCCGCATGCATGCATGCACGCAAACACACACACACTCTGAGAGAGAGAGAGAGAGAGAGAGAGAGAGAGAGAGAGAGAGAGAGAGAGAGAGAGAGAGAGAGTTTACAGTTTCCTGGGTCAAGATATGCAAGGGAAACGAGAAAACCAGGACCAACAAATGATAAGAAGCGTCTCAGTCCAGGTTTCTGAATAACCACAAGGACAAATGCAATTAGATCAGAAACTTATATAGCAAAGTCAGTGGTCCTGCATGTATTTTTTAACTTTTTACACGCGCTCCCTGCTAAGAACTCCTGGGACATGGGACACAGTGAAAGGCGACCTGACATGATTCCCATAGCAAGTGATTCAACATATTAGTGTTTCTTGCTTTCTTCCTCTCTCTCTTTTTCTTTTTCGTAATGGACAACATTAGAGTCTAGCAAACAAGCTAGTCCCGTAGAATTGTAATTGTTTTGGCCCATTTAAGGTTGGAAATCTGGGGACTCGTTGCAGGTTATATTCCGTGAATTTCTGAGAAAGACGAGAGAGAGAACCTGATTTTGTGAGTCCTCTTGATGCGTGGAATTAGGGGGATCAAAGGGTGGGGTCGTGCCCTCCACGTTAATGTCCACTATACTTTTGCTCCCTTCCAATGTTGTTGGGGCTCCTGCACTTGCCACCTGATGCTCCTCCTGCATATTCTCTCTCCTATTTCTCTCTATCTCTCTCTCAATACACCCTCTGCTTTTCGTGAAGCAACTGATGAGCTTGATTTATACCTGCTTCATTTCAAGTTGCGTGTTGCGTTGCAAACACAGTGGCTTTTGACTTATATGGACAACTACTGTAATTATATTATCTTGCAGGCAACTGGCTATGTCCTTGATGGTTTTATAAACAAAAGTCACCATCTTTGGTCGCTCAGTAGACAAAAAAAAAAAAGTCAGACAACTATAGGGAAGGAATTAACTAAGAGCATGCAGACACGAATCCTGCTTAAAAATGTCAGTTTCGCTTTCTAATTTGATATTTGGACTGAAATTCCGTGAGATGCACCTCACATATTCCCTCTTTGTATTCTTTCAAGTTTTGTCGGATACATTAAGAAGGATCTCCAAAAATCCAATACTATTATTACAGTGACGGATTATAACCGTGCCTTTTGAATAAGTGCCGAGTCATAGTTAACACGCGATTAACTACAGTCGGCCACGTCATTTGGTATGCTAATTTTGTAAACCAATCTCGATACGTCCCCAACTTTACTCTTTTTCTTTAGGATGACTTAATACATACATATATACGTACCTAAACCCCTCATCATGCGCCACATATTCTACGTGTGACCATGGAAAAATTGAGCCCTTACGATATAATTTATTTGTTTGTTGGTGTTTGTCTCTCAATATATTCCCACTTTATAAAGAAAAATATAGACGATGACGTGTGTGCTTTGATCAGAATAGGCGGCTGCCTCTGTAGGGTAGCTTTCTGGAAGTTAGACCATGCACGATGAGTCCAAACTCTTGAAAACCGAAACGAAAGGAAGACCCACAGAAGATTCTAATTGTATGCACGGACAATGTAGAAACATCAACGGGTTCGAACGTTTTATAACTCGTATGTCCGGCCTGCCGCACAAGAGATGCCCCATGTCCGAATCAGCCCGACCCCATCAGAATATGAAAAGTAAATAATCTAAAGCATCAAAGTGAGCTATTCATCATTGTTTGACCCCAATACAGCAATGAAAAGATGTGAAATTGATGATTCCAACATCAAATCGGCAGGAAACGTTGTGTTAGGGATCAAAATCAAAGGATGGCCTGAAACTGATTCGCAGGAATTTGTCTCTGTTAAATTATATCTCGAGTTTGAGCTGTTTATGAATCCCGATCCGATTGAATAAATATTAAAGTTTGGCTGTATTTGTGTTACGATTAAAATATAAAAAAAATTCTTATGAACTAAAAGACAAAAGAAGGGCCTCCCATATATTAGCTTATGCGGTGGGTCCAAATCAAAAAAGGGCAAAGTTGTTGACTCCTGTAGAAGAAGAGTACGGGCATGGGTTCCAAAGCACAGTAAAGGTTTAAGTGGGTTCCTTCATGTGGCCCAATTCCCTAAAAAATCCCCAACTTTAGCCTTTATCTCAAATATATCCAAAACTTTTTTTTGTCTAATAAAAAACCTCAAACTTTTACTTTTGTCCCAAATCTACCCCGTTTACTATTTATCTAATTTTTTAATATTATTTTTTATTTTTTCGAATTTTTTTATTTTCTTTTTTTCTTTTTTTTTCACCTTCAACCTCCGGCCGGTCGCCGATCCGGCGACCGGCCAGAGGTGAGGGCCGGCGAGGTCGGCCCCCGCCGGCGCCGGCGAGGCCTCGGCCTCGCGCTTGGCGAGGCCGAGGCCGGCGGCCGGGGCCGAGCCTCGCCGATCGCCGGCCTCGAGTTGCGGGCGAGGCCGACCGAGGCCGAACCTCGCCGTTCCGGGCGAGGCCGACCTCGCCGGCGGCCGGCGGGGCCGATGGCGAGGTCGGCCTCGCCGTTGTCGGGCGAGGCCGAGCCTCGCCCAGCCGGCGGGGCCGAGCCTCGCCCGGTGCCGGCGGGCCGACCCTCGCCGGATCCGGCGAGGCTCGGCCCCGCCGGCCGCCGGCGAGGTCGGCCTCGCCCAAAGAACGGCGAGGTCGGCCTCGCAGACGCGAGGTCGGCTCGCACGCCGGCGGGCCGACCTCACCGGTCCTCGCCTCTTGCCGGTCGCCGGACCGGCGACCGGCCGGAGGTTGAAGGTAAAACAAAAAAATAAAAAATTCGAAAAAATAAAAAATAAAATTAAAAAATTGGATGAATAGTAAACGGGGTAGATTTGGGACAAAAGTAAAAGTTTAGGGTTTTTTATTAGACAAAAAAAGTTTGGGATATAATTGGGACAAAGGCTAAAGTTGGGGTTTTCTTAGGGAATTCGGCCCCTTCACGTAGACTTGGAGCCGCACAGCAGAAGTGCGGGATTGAAGGGCCGCACAATGACTTCCTAGTGAGCTGTCGCACGAAGAACAAAAAGAAAAATAAGAAAAATCAAAGAGTGCGGAGCTCTGCACTTGGCCGTGAGCGGAGCTGGAACACACCTGAATTTGTGTTGTGAGTTTTATATTCAAATTGAGCTTTTTATTTATTTGTAAACAATTTGGGTTCGGGTCTTAATTTAGGTGTGAGATTGTGACTATGATTCTCTGATTATAGTGGATTATTAGCTGATGGCTCTTCCCATAGATGTAGGTACCGACACTCGGACTGAACCACGTAAATCTTTTGTGTCATTTATCATTCCTCGTTTATTTCTTTGACTCTCTCACATTGATTTAATTACAAGATCCTAGTTAACTTCCGCGTTAAAATTACAACAGTCTTGGCAATGAAATATCTTTCATCGAAAGTCGTTTTTCGGTTTATTAAGAAAATATAGGTTCTATGGCGATTCCGGGCAGAATATATCACGAGAGCACAAGAAATCGATAGATATACTTTAACGGAATTGAATCAACATCAAAGTACAAAACACTTTGCCGAAATTTATTCGACGACAAAGTGAAATGATAGAGAGATACAATGACGAAAATTTAAAAGCTAAACCAAGATACATGTCAGAATTCAATCGATGACAAGATATCTTGAAACTACAGCTACGATACAAGAATTGAAAGTTAACAGGTTTTGTTTTTTTTTGTTCAAGGGAGGGATTTCAATGATGCACAAAAACTAGTATTTATAGTAGTTACAACGTAACTACCCATAAGATTCTTTAGCAGTTTCAACCATGCCTTTACATTTCCAAGACTTCCGGCTCCATATATCCATGTTGGCATGATATCTTATCTCCAGACAGTTAATCCTTCGAAGTCACATCTTCATATTCCACCTTGTTCGTCGTTGTCTTTGATCTAAGTTGTTAATCTTTCAAATTCGCCTTCTAATCATATGATCTGTTGTGCTTCATTGTCTTATTCACAAGCAGTTTCAATTTCAAAAGCCACTATGTCTGAACTTCGCGCCCCACTTTTACTCACAAAAAACAGTTAGTTTTCAAATGACTTCTTATTCAGTTGTGAATTGATATATTTTCCCTTACCAACATTTAGTCAATTTCACTATGACAATCGTCAACCAGCCACTATCACATACCGATAACTGATCCAGCTGGTCATTGAACCAGCCGCTATCATGTATCAACAACTTATCATGATTATCAACATGTATGATCATCGGCAATAACGTATATAATCAGTACGGCCATTGACAAAGATTCCTATACCGATAGCCACTTCACTTGACCTCAGGTCGTGTGCTTACTCACGTTGATATCATGCCGATTGTAATGGCTTGGCTAATTTTTTGTGTAAATAGGAACATGTCCAAAAAAACAAGCAGACTTTCAAGGCGGAAAACGATCTCAAACACCTCTAGAAGTTGGCACCGTGGCACCGGGCTTTACTGGTTGTATTTACGGGCTTCGTAACTCTACCAAGGTTGAAAATTATGCCCCGTTAAAGCCAAGGTGCGCGGATTTTTTTTCTTTATATTTGAGATTTGTAAATTGTTAAGTAATTCCATTTTCAATCATCTGACTGTATGTTAGAGTTTTTAGACCAAATTTTATTTCTGTTAAATTTAGGCCAGTTATTTTTCCCCCTATTTCCAGCAAGGTCGACCAACGGTCAAGCAATGTCTGTTCAAGCTGAGCCAATATGGCCAAAAAAGAAAAAGTATAGGCATTGTAAGCTTCAATGGACATCTTGCATTCCCTTGCACTCCAACAAAAGAAAACAGGGTTTGATCTTCTTAGTGGAAATAAAGGTTTTCATTTTTTGCAAATAAAGGCTTTTCTAATTGCCAGCTTATGGGGAAATTACACAATCAATCCTAAAACTATAGTACAAATATTAATTCAATCTTAAACTTTTCAATTTTGTCAATTTAGTCCTAAATCTTTGTGCGAAATGCCAATTTAGTCCTTTTGGTCAATTTTCCCCGGAAGTCACTAACGTAGTGCACCAGTTGTCGTCGACTGTCCCACGTGACACATTTCTATGTCAGTGATTTCTGGCAAAAGTTGGCCGGAATGACTACATTAAAATTTCGCACAAAGGATGAGGACTAAATTGGCAAAATTGAAAAGTTTAAGACGAAATTAATTTATTCACCAGTTTATTGGCCAGCAATTCTAATAGCCAAATGACTTCACTTAAAAATGATCATCCGATGTCGAAGAAGTAAGAATTAATTATGAATTCTTGGAAAAGAATAACTAATAAATATGCAATCCACATTATATGATTACATAGCTTATGTCATCCTCATAAACTAGAAGAAATTGCGACTCTAGTAACAAAACCTAGGATGTGGGTCTTGCATATTTATGTTTTATCCATCTGCTTTCACCTTTAAAGTAACTTTGCATGACATTAATTGAATCAAACTAATCCTAGAACTCTTCTCCAGCGATATTTCAGAAGCCATTTTTGGTCGATAACCAAATGGACCATTCAAATGGATGTACAAAAATATATGTCGTGGCTCTAATCAGAATCCCATTGCATATATTAACTCCACTGCTCCAACATATTAAAGATCTAAACTATGTAAAATGATTTTGCTAAGGTAAGCCTGGCTAATTTTGTTGGCGACCGACTAAACTTTCTCCACGTTTGATAATCTACTTTGTTTTTTCATCTTAACGAATCCACTTGGATGGTCATCCACAAAAGACAATAGAGTAGATGCGCTTAATTAGGCCATCAAGCATTTGTTCTTCAATTATAAGATGACGGACGGAGGTGTTGGATTAAATTGCATCATGAAATAGTGTCGGCATTGCTATTGGCAGTCCTCGTGGATAACTTCTTGTAGGCAAAAACTAGATGCAAGATGATGATGAAACGGGGTTTCCTTACTAAGTAAACGTCCTGTCTTCTCGTTGGAAAGAGTGTGGTGGAAAAGCACATGAAGGGCGAGATGGAATGGTGGAACAAAGAGACAAGTATACATTGAGAGATTTTTGTTTAATCTTTCTTCTCACGACACACTTTGCTCTTAGTTACGAGAATTCATAATAATACCTCTTAGGATGATGACCATTATTCTCCAATAACTAGGTAAACATAAACTAAAAGAGGTTAACGTCCTTGAACTAAAGGAGGCAGTGATTGGGTAGGGAAGCCATTTGTAAGTTGAGTAAGAGAACAAAATTGAGTCAATAAACACACTATTGTTGCTATAATGGCTTCTTAACAATGGTACAGGGGTGGTGGCGGTGGTGGTGGTGGTTAGTTGTAGGCAATGGTAACCGTCTTACAACCGACGACAACGGTCGATGGTGGGACGGAGTTTGTTCGGCACCTCAATAACACCTTGATCCACAAACATGTTGATCAGAACATGTGATCTGATATTGGCTGCGAATACAGCCGCCGGTAAAAGACCAACATTATCTAAATTCTCTTTACAGTTTCGACCAAAAAAAAAAATCTCTCTACAGATCTTGACTTTAAGCCGCGACTGTTCATTCATTTTAGCTCCACTGACGCACGTGGTCTTGTGAAAAGATAGTACATGTTTTCGCCCAGATTAAGTATATGATAGGTATCGAGCATAACTGAAACCGTAACTATTCCTTGGTCGGACAGTGAAAGCATAGATACTCCCAAGTTGCAATTAGGTTGTCTTGTAGGTACATGGGAAGGACCGGCATTAGGGGATCAATTAACCCTACGCAGCTTCAAAACCCTAAAAGTAAGAGACAGCAAAAGAGTAGCGGTCTTGCCATTTATATCTGATAATGAAATGACAGCAAAAGACGAGCCCGACGTCAATGGCGGAGAAAAGAGTGTCTTCACGTTGCCAAAGGATTCGCCTTCGCAATTTCTCTACGTATTTCCATCAACAGATCCTCAAAGAGCATCTAGGATAGCCTTTTGACTTTTGAGAACACCGCACGCACGCACCCACCCACGACAGTTCTAGAATCCTATCACGTTACGGCGAAGAAGGCTTATTCGTATCCCTGAAGGGGCTCAAGACTGTCCAAGTCAAATCTAGGATGAGGTAATCAGATGCGTAACTCCGTGTGAAAGATTATAACTGAGACAGGCTAACTTGAACGAAAGTTTCGTTTTTTGCCGGGTTTTCGGGTTAATGCGATTGGAGGACATGTTGTCACGAGTTGGCAAAAGGGTTTAACCTCTGACAAGAGAGGAAGGTAATCTGAGATTCAAATGCGTAATCCCTTTTCTCAAGTTGACAATCAATCGAGTAATTCACCAAAGTCCAAGGGTTAAATGCATTTCAAACGTGAGCAAAGTGACTCATTTATTCTGCTCTTGCCATAATTGCTCCAGTATCATCTATCTTAAGAAGTCATTGAAAATCTTGAGAGCGACTTATTCTATCCGAAAGTATATGACGTAACCTAGATGGATGCAAAGCCGGGTAATCATACATGAGCTTTGTCCATTGTGTTTAGCATGTTCGGTCCCTACGAGTAACAACATTAGGTTCACCGGTTGATTTTACGGAAATTTTACAGTCGCTCTGGTTAGTAATTCAAAATGATTCGATATACATATCTTGTCTTAAAAAGATAGAGCATTCATTTAGAATGATAATTTGCTAGTGTGCCTTTATTTATGATTCTGGTGTTCCAAGTTAGGTTTTGTTCGAATTTCCACAGATAAAAATGCGTTATAAATTGACTTAATAGAAAAATAATTACGTGTCGCATATTATAATCCGGGATGATAGCATCATTAGTCGGAATAATAATTCTGAATTTGAGTAAAACTATTTATTGACGTGACATTAGCTTGCTCACAATTATCATCCCAAGAAGTGTAAAATTATACGCTTTCGAGGAAAATGAAAGCATTGCGAGGAAGAAAATAGACGTGTATTCATGACGCCCATGATTTTGCAAATTGCAAATACGACTCCTTTCAAGGCCGCCTTAAGTTGACTCAACACAGATTTCGGGTACATAGTTTATTTTCAGCATCCAGCGTCGAATGTTAGCGTATCCTAGGTATCTCATTCTATTGGACTACTTATGTTCTCGTCATCATGTCGACTTTCCGTGAGTTCGACACATAATCTATCGTTTCAAACTGATATTAGCTCATCGCATACGTCGACATTACTCCAACTAGCATTGGATCAGGAAAAAGTATCAAAAAAGTTTTAAAACCTATTGCATTGATACCGATTCAGTCATAAACCTTTCAATTTGACGGATTTAGTCATAGATCTTTTCACGTTTTGTCAACTGAGTTCATCCGGCCAATTTAGGCTATAAATTGCTGAAGTGGATGTCAACTGTCCTACATAGCACAGCTGGTGCCGGCCAGCCAAAATTGATCGGATAGACTGAATTGGCACAAACGCAAAAGGTTTAGGACTGAATTGGCACAATTACAATAGATTTAAAACTATTTTGGCAATTTTCCCCATAGTTAAAGGAAGAACTACACCATACATATACCCTCTTTTAAACTCCTGCGCCCTGCACCTATAGAGATGCGAGACCGCTGAACTAATTAAAATCCCAATGGACATCGAAGCACAATAGACACTCGAAGAAGAACCATAATCTTATCGTAGTCAATCAAGCGAGTTTACGATCCAGTTCAAAGCATAATGAAAGCCTCCTACGTCTGCATGGTTTTGAGAACATTCAAAGCCAAAGTGAAATGCATATTGGATTGTCTCGCCCTTTGGTGAAGCAAGGACTAGTCATGCTCCAATCCCCAAGGGGACATAATGTACTTGAGGCGCCCTGGATCTTCTGCCAAGAACTGGCTTAAGATCTGTTACTTCACGTCTTTCTTTAGGACATATTTCAAACAGTATTCAATTAATGCAATCGGCCAAGACAGGCCTAGTGAGCAGAAGCATAACTAAATCAGCTTGATGGGGCAATCAAGCATCAGCATTGTGTACCAAACGAGTATAACAAAGATGAGAATGCTACATTGTGTGAATACTCGAGAAAAAAATTGTGATGAGAGAAGCTCATTCATACACATGCCATGGCGACCTTAGAATGTTCGAGTGAGAAATTGCAACTTTACAGTGGACGTGCAGATCAAAAGGAGTAAGGAAGATCTTAAAATGCATGGAATGAGAATAAAAGAAAAGATTTTAGCATTTAGATCTTTTGAGATAGAGCACAATGATGTAAGAGGGTTCATGTAGCCAACTCCACTTCATAGTATAAGCATTGGTGGGGATAGTTGTTTTGTTGTACATTTGAACAGGAATACTTGCTGGATTTATGGAGCGAAAAGGATATGCTTCTACTAATACAGCCAGTGGTATCATGGTAAAAGTGATTCAAGAGCAGACCTCACTACGGCGGGAAAAGGCATAGCCCAAAATGTGGATATATTATCAAGCAGAGTGAGACAATTGAATAGCCTCCAACACATCCTTTGGATTGCAGTGGTATGAAAACCAGTACACAATTCGGAAACTCAAGAGCCAACAAGATCTTTTTTTCCTTGATTCATAGTATGGACATAGCCCAGCATTCCCAATATTTAACGTTATCATGCTATTATTCAGAGAATCTAAAGTTGTCGCCATTCCAATGCGGACCACGACTGAGTCCCTTCAAGTGAATGGTTAAGACATGAATAGGGAAATGCGTCTGTTCAGAAAACAGCTCTTTCCTTTTTTTCCTCTCCATAGGATAGTGAAAACTCATAGCAACTGAGGAATGAGCAGAAACTTTGGCTTTTCTCTAAGCCACGGTGCAAAAATATAGATAGAGGAGTTCGTCCTTGAACTTGACACTCCTGCCAGCATTGACCTTGCAGTTACCATACAAAATATTTTTCCCTCCTTATGCTCCTTCATCTTGGGTAAAACTTGTGGCTGATAGATCCATAGAACCTAAAAAGCAAATCAGAAAACTCCACTACTCATATGAATGAGGTAGATGGAATGGGAAAGTAAAATGAATCAGAATCACAAATTTCATGTCATTAACAAATTTAATACAGACATGGACATGGAACAGAATCTTTTGCATGATTTGCCACTGAGTGAATTAATAGTAGCTATTTGCTCTAAGATCATAATACGAAAACACTTGAAGATTGATGAATATTCATCAACCATTCAAAATGGAAACACTTAAAGCATCTGCCAAATTACTCCTTTTTTTCTAGTTGGAAACGATGCTTTCCACGTAACTCACGGATTTATTAATTGAAAAGCGATTATAAGATGACAATCCTGGAAAACATTATAGAAGAAATAATTGGAAGAGGGAAAAACATATGGTGAGACGAACATCCTTGAATGATAATACAATGATTGCTTTGCTGGAATTTTGATTTCCATCAATAACTGTCTGCCCAGCAACAAAGCATAATCATGGAGACAGGTTTACTGCAGGTGAATGTAGATTAATTTCTATTCCTGTCATTGCATGTAACCAAGCATCTTTATGAAAGGAAATGAAGAACCAGTTCCTATTCCAATATATTTAGAACTGGCACAAAACCATGCCAAAGTACACGAAATAAATCAAACAATTTAGATATGCCAACGACCTTGGATTTGCATCTAACTAGAGAAGAGCAAACCAACATTCTGGCTAAAATCAAAACTCCACAGTGGCATGGGCATGCTTAAGGTAGAACCTTTGACTTGTTGAAGAACTCAACTGTGTCTGATAGATCAAGAAGGAGAACACAAAGGTAATTGACAAAAGTGTTTTCATTCACCTTACAAAAACAGACGGCAGTTTTGTATTTTAATAAACCAGTACTGACATCTCAACTAAGTTAAAAGATCATAAAGCATCTACATTAGTTTACTCATGTCGCAAGAAATTATGAGAATGCGACACACACTCCACTTCCTCCCCTCATCTTCATCAGTTTCAGAAGCTTGGGAATTTATTTTTATTCTCTGCAGGAAAGATGATTGTAAATGTGGAATTCCTTGGCTGGAGTAAAAATACCAGAACTTCCTATCTCGTGCAGAGGGCAAGCCAGTGGAAGCATGGATAAAAATATCTAGGCATACAAGAAAACTACAGACAGAACTTTGCAATACAAAACATGCTTCCAGGCAATTTACGCTAGCAATATAGGCTATAGGCTGACATCATATGATAATGAGGAGTAGTAGGGAATCCATGTTACCTGAACAGAGAGAGAACACCAGTCAAATGATGGGTGACTGGTGACAGAGCTTGTATGCTTGAGCAGATTCGATTCCCGAATTTTCAATAGAAATATAACTCTCTCGCAATGCGGCAGCATTTAGCAAGATACGGTCATGTTCAACTTCATTCCTTGTTTTTATCTGTTCTCCTTGCGAAGTGATATAGCTTGCTCAGACAAAAGATTTAACCTCGAGGACTGATCCATATGTTTGGAACCTCCAATTCCACTTACATGGTGAATCTTGCTGAGCTGTAAGAACAATTAGCGAGTGACCATTGGTTTCACCTTCATCACCTGCCTAAGCCTTTTCCCTATATCATCTTGAATCTTTCTATGCAGTTCACCATCTAGCAGACCACTTGCTCCTGAAGAGTTGAGCGAATCACGAACTAATTTATATGTATACTCTCTTGGAACTGAACCTCCATCAACCAACTCAACAAGGAAATTGCATGCATCAATCACTCTTCCTACTTCGCATAAAGCATGAATAATAGGAGTATAGGAGCTCGAAGTGGGTATGCCATGATTCATGCTTCGGATCTTCCTCAACATGTCGATAGCTTTATCGATCTCATTAACAGCACTATAGTATCTAATGAAAGAATTATATGTGACTCGGTTTGGGACACAACCTCTTTTATTCATGTCATCGAAAAGTTCCAATGCCCTCCCAATCCGATTCGTTTTGCAGCACCCGTCGATCAGACAGTTATACGTGACCACATCCGGAACAAAACCTTTGAAAAGCATATGACGAAACAGGTGGTTCGCCTCCCACAGCCTCCTCCGAATGGCCTTCCTGCATCCAGTTTGCATACTATACTTACAGTACGAACCAATCATTATCGTATATGTATATGTATCCGGGGAGCACCTGAACCCCGGCAATTCCATCTTGTCCAACAAGAACCTCGCCTTCTTGAAATTCCCTACTCTACAAAGCGCAAGGAGAATGGTATTATACGCATAGACATCCGGCGTGCAACGAAACTGCTTCATCCTATAAAATGCGGCCAACGCCTCCTTGACGAAGCCCTCTTCTCCTAGGACTTTTATCAAACAGGTGATGGTGGGAGCAGTGACGAGCTCATCACCTCTCTTATCCATCGTCCTAAGAAACTCCCACAGACCCTTCAACCCATTTCCTCTAGCCAAGACAATAGCCATCTCTCTACAAGTCATCTCGTTGTGCACGAAGCCGAAGTAGGACTCGACCCAGTAGTAGAACTCGAGCGCTTTGCCCAGCCCAAGCTCGACCCTTTGGGGGTCTCTGCGAGCAGCGGGACCAAGAACGAGCTTACCCTCGCGGAGCTTCTCGGACTCGCGCTTCACATTGCGCTGTCTCAGAGGCGCTCGGTGACGGAAGGTCTTCTGGCGACCGATGGAGCGAGGGGACTGGAAGAAGCATCTGGGTATCGACCGCAGCACTTGGGAGACCGATTCGGTGTCCCAGGGAGGCGCGTTGGGCGCGGCCGAAGCGGCCAGCTTCGCATCGAACTCGCGGTTTTGGACGATGACGGCGAGGACCTGGTTCACGACGGAGACGTAGCTACTACGGTTCAGGGGTCTCGGGGAGATCATGCTCTGGAAAAGACACAGCTTCGTGCTCTGCTCGATCAAAATCTCAACATAACGTTTACAATGTCGGAGACTGCAATACCGGTGAGGAAGAGGGGAGATGCAGTTGGCACAAAGAACACGGAGAAGAACACGTGTCGCATGAATCCTGCTGTGCAGACCAGAGACTTGTTTATGTCGGGTCGAGGATTTCTTGAGAGAATTTCAGAGATTGTGTGATTTGTGAACCTCGAGCAATCAGATCGTACATTTGATTCTCAATCGGTCTCATCGGTTTCAATGTAATCGGCATTGTTCAATCGAAAATATTTCGAATTCACTTTCTTTAGGAGTCTGCCTTATTATCTTGGAAAAATCCGAGGCCGACTTCCGCAACATAAAAATGTCGACTTTAATGACAGAGAGCGATAATTTGAATAAGCATGTCAAGATATAGTCTCGACCGAATACGATGCCCTCGCAAAATTTGATTAAAATGTAACGAATCTTGGCCGTTCGAATATTATAATAGTTACGTGTGAACAAAGGAAAATTATTTATTGTAGAAACTCGAGAGTTGCTTAAAACATCAATTTATCTGAATAAGAATATGGTAACTATATATAACATGATATGCGAATCGGAAGGTGAATTCGATGTAGCTCGATGCATGGGGCTTTGTAAGAAAGTCAAGATGGATGGGCATTGGTCGACCGTTGAAGAAAGATAGTTCATGGGGGTGGTTTCGGTAGTGTCGACTTTGGAAAGCCGATCGGAGTTTGATCGAACAACAGTTATCGCGACGACAGTGAAGTTCCGATCAGAGCTTTAAAATGTGGAAATTCACATTACACTTTAATCTGTTTTATTACAACAACACATACAAAGATCATAAGACCAATCTCGTGCAGGTTGTCTCCTCTGCTACTCTAACCCAACGTGTACATTCTTCGCTACTACATCAAAACAAAGCCACAGCAATTCCCTTTGCCACGTTGTTGTATGTGTAACTTGGGTGCGTTTCTGTGTCGATTTGGTGAACATTGCGGATCGATCTCTACTTCAAAAGAGCCCAAACCCTGCCCACTCTGGATCGCCCATGCATCGTGGTGATGACTGGCGAGACCTCATGTACGAAGAAAACGACAGCCTCGGTGACGACCCGACAGACCAATAGGACGACGAGCATGGCGACTCACAGAACGGCGAGGGCGACCTCCGGCTCGAGACGGAAAAGCGGGACAGCGTTTCAAGATCGGAAGTGCGGTCAGGGTCAGGCTCGGGTTCGGGCCTGGTCCTTCGGGTCCTCCTTTTGCTCTCCTTCCGTTTCAAGAGGGGCGCCGCCGCGGGGAAGCATCCTGGCCCGGCGGAGACGCATTCGGGCTGGCCCAGCATGGGCGGGCCGAGCCGCCACCGCTCGGAGCGGGTGCGCGGGACCGACCGGAAGGACCCGGCCCGCGGCTCCAGCGGCGAGGCGAACCGGAGCCCCGGCCCGGCAGGCGGCGGCTTGAGCTTCGGCGGGGACAGACAACCGTGCCGGGGAGGGCCCTCTGGTGGGGGCAGCGGGGGCGGCTGCTGGTGGCGGTGGTGCTGGCTCTTGGGGACGCCGGGCCGGATCTCCCACTTGAACGGGATGGTCCCTGGTTTCTTGAAGGACTCATCGATGGCCATCTTCCTTAACGGCAATTTGAACCGCTATCAACTGTACAGGCGCAACTATGAACTAGCACAACGAAACGCAAACCAACACTCACTATGAATGAAAGAATTGATGGGCGTCGTGTATATATGGAGGTGAAGGCGGCGGAGAATGAAGAGTTGAGTGAGGCGAGATCAAAGGCGTTGAGTGTGGGATTGGTGGGCCATTTTGGTTCTCGACTTAGCGAGGGAGATCTCAAGATGCCAACATTTTCCCCATGTGAAGCCAAAGTGGAGCTTGAATTTTTGTCAACAGACGTGATTTTTCAAGCTCCTGACACAAATTCGAGAAATCCGGTACCAACCCACTACAAAATTTGCCTCCATCGCTATTGTAATTGCTGAATGTTCCGAATTCAAATGATGGGTCAGGGTCAACCAATCAATCTACATTTGCGCTCCTGATTGATCGCGGAGCATTACGAGAAGACCCTACTTGTTCCCCGCAGCGTGCGAATCTACAAACCTATCAGGAGTTTTAACTGTCCGTGCGATCCGCTTTATCGGTATACTTTTCTTCGAAAGAAGAAAATCTGCATAAAGGATTATACATGTGACTATGTTGCACAGCCTTGAATAAACAGGAAAAGAATTGACATTTTGTATTGATTACATAGTTTCTTTCCCCTTTTATCAAACTTAATTGGTTATGAGATTCGAAAGTAAAACCCCTCCAAGCAACTGGATTAAGCATGCCCATTATTTCAAGTTCGAGCTCACAGCTCGATTGAATTCTCGAGCTACTCTGGTTGAAATTGAACTCGGCAAACACTCTTCAACGAAATCAGTAGCAATTACGCGGTTCTTTCAAATTCAAACGCGACCATGATGAAGCTGGTGGTGGTGGGTTGCACACACTAGCATGTGACATATCATGATGATTAAGATGACATGACCGCAACACTATGATGAAATGCAATAGATCATTTCAGAGGAAGTGGTGAACAGAAGAAGGTATTTTGCTTGCTCCATTTCACAACTCAGGAATGACAGATCTGATTATAGCTCCATCATGCCCATAGCCTAGCTTTGTTTTCCAAATCTATCAAAAGCGACCATATATCTGCATGTCCCCTTTTGTCTCGCTGTACACTAGTCTAAGCTACTCAAGATCTCGCACATAAATTACTCGACTACTATTAAAGCAGTACATAATAACTGCAAGCAAACAAGATTGCTCATCCTAGATAACATTGATCCTGTTGTCTCTGTCTATCTCGTGCCTCCGAAGTAGAAATTAGGAAAAAAATAAGCTTCATTTAGCCCAAAAATAAAATTAAAACAAGCCCTAAATACTCTCAGGAACATTTAACCAATACTTAAACCACAAATTTATCAATAATTAGACCTTTGTATCAGCTAAGGAGGCAACTTCTGGCAGGCTAACTGTGATAACGGAGGATGTGTTGCAAAAGATAACATAGAGGCAACCCGAAACTCCCTCATCAGCAATGCATCAGACCTTTGCATCAGCATTGGATCTAATAATTACAATCTCTTTACAGACTTAGTTTCGAATTTTTCCGTAGATTATTATCACAAGCTTTCTCTAGATCCGAAGCTTTCCGGTCCCTCAAGTCTCGTAAGAGAATTCTTGGGGCATGTTACACAGAGCTCGCATGGTGTTGCTAGCCACATCCAAAAGCTGCAAGTACTCATCCGCACCGTCAACAAGACACTGAACAAGAAAAGAGCCAACACTTACTTATAAATACCTAAATTGTCTAACAGCATAATTTCTTTGATTATGATCAACCCTCCATGTACTTTGGCATGCAGCATCCAACCAAAATGTTTTTGTTAGGGCTCAACATATGTGTAGTCATTATGCTTTTATGAAACATAAAGTTAACATGCGTTTGTGTACATTTAGATGGACACATTCTGAACACATTCTGCAGGGCCCGTATATGAAAAAATTATTCCTTAAAAGTGCTATACATCTTATATGATGTGACTCCTCAAATAAAAAATCGGTGTTGGGATTGCAACAAACAAGTATGATCAAAATAAATGCATTGTTTCCGGGGTTCAATAGCTCACTGTAGTGCAAAGCATTTAAATGAAATGATTCGATAAAAACATGAGGACACAAGTCACTAGCCTCGAATGTTATCCCATAATATCTTGAAAGTTGCTATAACTATAAGAATCTTTCAGAATTAGTTCAAAGCATCAAAATGAGGTCAGAAGCAACAAGTGGACATAAGTGGAGATAGAAAAAAGGAAGCTATAAGTACTTAATATCCTTACCAGCTGGAAAGACCACGTGATTATTGTTTGTGTCATGGTCAATGATCAATCATTACTTAGGAGTTGCACCAATTTTAATTTGAAAATATAAAACAGTTCACATAAGTTCATCATAGGCAGCTAACCTTATCAGCTTCACCCAATCTCTTGCATATCCTAGCCTTCTGTTCATCTGAAATATCGTCCGCTTCTACAACCACTTCAAATAACTAGAATAGGACAGAGTTTTAGCTTAATGTATATCCATAAGTTGACAGCAGAAAGGACGCATACCTAGATGTAGCATATTATACCTGAGATAGCATCTGGGAGACTGGATATCCCTCTGCAATGGCGTTATTGACCTCCTTGTTTGCCAAGTCAAAGTTGCCACTCTTGCATGCTGCAAGAAGTGCCCCAACAACCTCCTGCGGGATCACCTGATGAATTAAGATGTAGGAATCATATACAAGTGATTCTGAGATGGAAAAATGAAAAAGAAAGGAAAAGAGATAATAAATCTCAAAAGAATAAAAACAAAAGGGTAACATTTAGAAAGTGGTCTCCTTCAGCTAAACTAATCTGTCTAGCATCTAGCGGTTATAAATTCTAATACTCGAATACTTAAGGAAAAGGCTATTATCACCTCAAAAAGGAAAACGACAACTTCCTATCAAAAGATCACTGCTATATTGTCCCAGATTTAAAGTTCCCATTTGGAAAAGAAAAAAAAAACCTTTTGCGTCAAGATCCAGATTATAGGACAATACGGTCCTAAGATGCAGCTAGCATAGAAATATCCTGCATGCTACAGAATTGGTCAGAAGTTGGATTGAGGAGGGACCAAAAGTAGGATGATACCACCGATGATGCGCGGGCTCATCCCCCACGAAGGGTAGGAGTTCGAATCCGCGCCGCGTTAGGATTCTTAAGCGTGACGTCGTGGTGGTGGGTCCTGCGCTAGCGTCACCCGGGTTTACCTCCTGGCTGTCGGCCGTGCGGGAGTTCCGGTTACAAAAAAAAAAAAGTAGGATGATGCTATCATGCAGGATTCTGCTCAACAAGCTAAAGATCCTTTGCCTTGAACTCAGGCCTCTTCCAACCACAGCATAAAATCAGACCAAATACTCATACTCCAAAATCCATTGTATTCTTCAAACAATATTTAAAGTCCATTTAACCAATAAGGATGAAGAAAGTGCAGCTACCACGGATACTTTGTGGAACAAAACTATATGGGAGCATGGTTCGTAATAATTCCAACAAACATAACTACATGGCTTACTCATTTAAAGAACATATATCTTAGTTTTCATATTACAATCAACAGCAAACTATGATCATTACACCAGAATAAAGGCAAAGGAGTCCAGGATCGATTTGGAAAAAAAGAATCAAAATTAATTTACTGAAGAAAAAACACTTCCCTTCCCTTTTCATGTTTAAAGACATCACATTATCGTTATGCAATTATTCAGTCTCATATAACCTTAGTTTGTGATAGTAGCACGCTATTGGGTTACATATATGAAAGGATAATGAATGACCAGGAATTTAGAAAGTAAAGTATGAAAAAACTACCCCAGAAACACTTATTAGATCCTTCGAAGTAATTGATGATCCAAATAATCGAGCAGCTCCCTGCAAAGCTCAAAAAGAGTAGTCGAAAATACTCAGGGGGAGGGGAGGAATTCTACACACCACACAAAATATTACTATTTTAACAGTAAGACTAGATTCAACATTTCAAAGTAACACCATAAAATACAATTAAAAACAAGACAAGTTTGATGGATAGCACCGCATGAAATGCTTGATCCTATTTCTTTTATCCTATCAAGTTACTAGCTGATTATCTTCATAATAATTTCTTCCATAGTAAAAGTCTTATGGCATCCATGTTAAGTGTCTAAGCAATTCGTGATTAACCTTGCTGTATCGATTCCTTGGTTGTTGGCAACATTGAGATGCCCTCAACTCAACAAAACAAAGGATCAATCCATACAAGGTTTTTATGTCTAAAAACTGAACCACCACAAAACATATCAACCATCAACTGAAATAATCAAATTGACAAAAAGCAAATTCAATGATCCATAATCTGTTTCTTGCCAGCCTAAGATATACTCGTAAAGGAAGAAAGTCCAAATAATTATCCCTTCTCGTGTTTTATCCCCTTGACATGGAAAAGCATTTCAAACATCTATCCTCTTGAGTTCAAAAGAGAGTGTTCCCATAAGATGACATCTGCAGAAAGTTTCTTCACATGCCACAGCTCTCAACAAAATATAGGCTTCTATGCCTTGCAAGAGAAGGTGTGCCCGAGTCAGATACATCAATGTCCCTTTCAATGATCAATTCAAGTCGTAATCAGCATCCAGCCAGGTAACTATTACCAAATTTGAAAACAAGGACACCCACTGGTAGAAGAATGTCGAACTTGGCTAATGTTGTAAAATCCTCTGCTGTTATTTATGTAGCACTGATCAACTAAATATTTAGTGGATTAGATGAAACAAGAGCAGGAGGGAGAGTTGGAAAGCATCAGGCTACATTAACCTTACCCCAACTACTAAGAAAAGCTCATCAGCACCTCTCATCACCCCCCGGGAACCCCAAAAAAAATCAAATTTAGAGCTCTGAGCACCCAAAACAGAAACACCAATTCAGGCCAAAATCAGGCTCATCAGCCAGCCCCCCCCCCAAACCCAAAAAAAAAAAAAAAAAAAAACAAAAAAAAAAAAATTCTAAAGGTTTACAATATTCAAAAGCTCCATTTCGCAAAAGAGCATGATCTATAACTGCTGCAAAAGTATCTTATCATGACAAGAAAACCACATCCTCAAAGACTGGAGCTCATGTACCATGTAACTGTCTTGTACCTGCAAGTATGTGATAGCCCGGCGCAAATCACCTTGAGAGATTGTACTTAAGGTTGACAAAGCCTGCCATAACGGGAACCATTCAACAATGTCAAAAAGAAAATTTGCAAAATGGTGCGAAAACCATCTTTAGAGCCAGATGAAAACAATTAGAGCCAAACCTCTGCATCCAGATTGAGACCTTCTTCCTTGCATATGTGCAATATACGGCTGCCCATTATATCTTCTGAAAGAGGCTTGAACCTAAACTTTGCACATCTGGAAGCAAGCGGCTCTATGATCCTATAAAATTGCAAATACACATATCAATTAAGGTCAAAAAAAAAAAAAATTGAGGCTTACCTCCGAGCATTATATTCTCTAAGCAAGCAAAAAGCAAGAAGTCACTTTGTCACTCCAGTTCGATAGCTATTCTAGAAAGCCTTCTCCTTATAGTAAGTAAAAATTATCAAGCAAAGTGGAATGCACTCCTGTTTCAACTGAAAATGTGACACTACAATGAATAGAACCTAAACATGTGTTAACTACACGTCAAAAGAAAAGCTAAGAAAGAAGTTGTACCTGCTGATGTAATTGCATATAAAAAAGAATCTCGTGACTTTAGAGTATGTCTCCATTGTACGCCTCAGAGCATTCTGTACAAGCTGTCTGCCATAAGCATAATGAAAACTAATAATGTACCTATTGGCAAAAAGAAGAGTGGACAAACACATGCCTGAGCATCCTCTGTCATTGAATCTGCCTCGTCCAGGATGATTATTTTGTATGGTGGACACGGATAGACCCTACACAGAATCAAAGGGGAAGACCTATTATGAAGGAATGAAATTCACATACGGAAGAGGGTAAAATATGTGGAAGTAGAGCATATACCCTTGACGTTGACCAGATCCCACAGCCACAGCTGCAAAATCTTTTATTTTAGTTCTAACCACATTTATTCCACGATCATCACTCGCATTGAGCTCCAGCACTCTAGATTTGTAGAGCTCAGGCCTGCAGAAAGATACTAATGAACAGACAAAAAACAACAATGTACAAACCGACGAAAATCACGCTTCATATAACACTAAAGAAACTCCTGCATTGCATATGATGGCCACAGATCATAAGATTTACTCAAAATTGGGACAAGAAATTCATTGAATTGATGACAAAAACTGTATCTCAACCATTGTTTGTGCTTTCTAATCCTAACAGCTAACAATTTGAACCAGACAATAACGCAAGCACATGAAAGACACTGAAATGGAAGGCGTAATCTGCAGCCTCTAATCTCTCTAATCTCTACATCAACAAACCAGCACCATCACTTGTACAAAAGCCAAAAAATTCCTGCTTGACACGCCCACGAAAAGGGTTCAAAAGAATCGCCAATCAAGAACCTGCAGTCCAGCGTCTTACCCGAAAAGCTGGTGAGCGATGGCGAGCGCGGTCGTCGTCTTCCCGGTGCCCGGCGGGCCATAAAAGAGCATGTGCGGGCACTGTACCCAAAAAAAAAAGAACACCCCGCTACTCGATTATGCACGCACATATAAAGGGCGCCAATAGAAAGAACAAAGAGAAGGCGATGAACATCGCCGTCAGGACAAACGGCTCACGTTAGCGGTTTCGAGGGTGTTGGTGAGGACCCGGACCACCTCGTCCTGGTGAGCCACGTCCTTCACTTGCTTCGGTCGGCTGGCGATTGCAAGAGACAGAAACAGAGACAAAGATGAAATTTTGATCAGGCCAACGGAACTGAAACGAAGAGGAAAAATGAAACCCACGAAAGGGGAGGAGGAAAAGGAAGGGAATTTCCTACTATTTCTCGACCCAAGGTTGCGAGCTCTGCAGAATCGGCGCCATTCTCGAACTCCTGAGGAAGAAACCCTCTCCTTCCTCCTCTCTCTCTCTCTCTCTCTCTCTCTCCGTCTTTCTCTCTCTTCTGCGAGAAATTTTCCCGCTCTAAGTGAGAGCGGAGAGCGAGGGTAGGGGAAGGGCGCGAGCTGGTGGTCGACCCGTGACGGGTCTAACCCGGTTCGGTTCAAGGTAGAACCGGTTCTTTCTTTTCTCTTTTTATAATATCAAAACGAAATAAATGCATTGGAAATTTTAAAACTTGTCACGAAAATGCAATAGAATCCTAAAACTTGTCACAAAAGTGCAATTGAGTTCTAAAAATTTAAAAAAGTGTAATCGACAGAAGGACTGGATTGGACCAGTTTGATAAGTTTTAGGACTCGATCGCACTTTTTGAAAGTTTTAGGACTACATTACATTTTCGTGATAAGTTTTAGGACTTAATTGCACTTTCATGACAAGTTTTAAGACTTCCAATACGTTTATCCCATATCAAAACAGTTTTAGTTGATTAATAAGGTTGAAGCTATAATCCTTAAGACAACATGCCCTTATAATTTTTCAACTCCATTCGGGCTAAGATATGTTGGACATTGAGGATATATTGCGTTCAATCTAATGGTGAAAGATTATAAAGGTATGGTACCTCGCGAGGGCTATAAACTCGCCCTGATTAATATTGTATCTATCCATATCTATGTCGGAAAATATTCGTACCAGTTTTCGCGCACCTTGACTTAATCTTGGAGGCACACTCTCTGTCATCTTGTTGGAATACTCCCAACAAGACTAGAACTGAAAATCACAATGGGAGAAACAAAACTCCATCTAAGCCATCTATATCAAAACTTCAAGCTATACTTCTATACCTATACTATCCATATCTATATCCATCTAAATACCTATTAAGAAAAAGATTTGAGGAATGATCTCTCACAAAATTGATCATTTTACTCTTCAAAATAACTTGTGTTAGTTTCACTTACTTCTTAATTTCCATTTTAGTGTCTTTGGGAAAGATTGGACCATTGATCACACTTTCTTCTTGGGGGGAAGACTAAGTCTTCCCCCTAAACCAAGACAGCGCCCTACTAAAGAGGTGGACTGCCAAGTGGTCTGAACAGGCTAGGCAGGAAGTTGCAGACTTGTAACGATAGCAAAGATAATTTGAAGAAGCAACGAAGATGTTGGAAAGGCAACCATGGGGGGAACAAGAATTCAGCATGACAGAGACGGAACACTTGCTTGATGAGCAGCAGGGTATCAGAAGTGAGACTTGAGGGAAGTACTCTCTTTTGGGTTTCGTTGCAAACAGAACACTAATGAGTCTGTGTACCATCGAAGTCAGAAGCTGGTCGTTTGGAATCTGTCTCCAATGTGCTGTCTTCTGTCTTCAATATCAAGAGTTTCGAGTCCCATAAGTTGCTTCCCCCAAGTGATAAGAAGCATAATGTTGACAGCTTGTTTCTCATTCCCATAGAAATTTAGGCAGCTTACCAGGAACGAATCTAGCAAGCTTAAATATACTTTGAAAGCTCTCAGGCTAAGAGTGGTTTACTGCAATTATAACGTAGATGGGAGCTCATCGAGAGTCCTGATAAGCTGTTTAAGTGAAAGCTTTCTTATGCTCTGGATTAGAGTGTATTTCACTCGTCCATTTTCCGGGTTGCGATTAGATAAAGATAACTTTGGTGATTATTGGAAAGTCTGTTCATGTTGGTTTGTTTTAGGCATGCTTCTGTTGCTCATTCGAAAGTCCAGGGCATGTCGTTAACTGATTCGAAATACTGTTATTTTTGGTGATCTAGTTCCAGATTTAAGACCTACTAATGCCCTGTTAAATGCTGCAATGCTGTTATATCGAATCTAAGTGTAACATTTGCTAGGGCATGTTGTCTCTCTTTTTTACTCTCGCCCCTTCTTTACTTCAAAAGCCACTTCCTTTGCTTTCTTCACCATAGTGATAACGCAGGCAACTCCTAGTCAGGTAAGAAGTGGAAAGTTTACGAGTCTAAGATATGTCAAGGAGGAAACACGTTCTAGTTGACGCGCTGGAAGAGAGCAGTTATCGGATACCGCTCAAGTGTAGGGTTTCTGGCCTTCTTGTGAGGCTTCGGATGAATGCAGAAGGAATAGCGTGCGTCAAAATGAAACTGCTATGCGGTGGCTAGCAAATGCAGGGATCGAGATTATCTGTGCAGCATCATATTGTGGACTGGCCAAACTAACAAACGACTGGAAATCACAATTTCTCTTACATATGCAATCAAACTCAACATTGCAGAGACAAATGTAAATTGCAACATAGATATAATCTGAAGAAACCTCGTAATTGATTTAACTTCCAAAAGATCACGTAGCTACAGCATTAAAAAATACAGGAAAGGAATGAAAAGGTACATCAGATTACTGGTATCCCCTTCTTTCCCATCCACTTCTTCCTATTATTATCTACTATCTCTTCTTCCCTAAGGGACAACAGATCGAAAGAACACTTATAGATCTGTGAGTTCACGGTTGCGAACGGCTGAGGCACTTGTTCTTGAGGCTGGTCGCAGACACGAGCTTTCCAACTGGGCACCATCTTCAGTATCAACCGGTCCATCAACCCAGCCACAACATCAGCATCTTCTTTTGACAAATCAAGCTGCTCCATCATCTCCTGAGCAACTGAGAGAACTGTGTCGGAATCCAGATAGAATGCAAACTGTATTTTGTTGACCTTGCCCGCAGGACCCACGATGTGCAATGTAAGTGAAATCGATGCCTCATCACTCCTTTCCCCTGCTAGTCGGAATTCATTACACCCAGTGGAAATCCGCAACTCAAAACCCATGCTTGGAGCGGTTCCTCTTCCACCCTCCTTGGATGGACACAAGCTTTTAGGCACCGTTTCTGGCTTCGAAGCTTTCGAGTCTACAATTGCAAGGAAGGGATCTCTCAAAAGCTCTGCCGCAGATGGCCGCGAAGAGGCGGGCAGAAGACACTTCTCAATGAACTGCTTGGCATCGGGGTCCTTCACCTTCCCAAGGGAGACGGGCTTAATGCCGGAGAGGACCTTCTTGTAAATCTGCGCAGAATTCTTGCATTCTCCATAAGGGCATTCCAGAGTAATCATCTCCAGCATACACATCCCGAAAGAGTATATGTCGACGAGCTCGTTGTAGTCCTCCTCGTAAAGCTCGGGAGCCATGAACTCCGGGGTCCCGATCACGCTGTGCGCGGTCGGCTGTTGCATCACGATGGCCAATCCCAGATCACCAATCTTGACATGCCCATCATACCCATTCACGAAAATATTCTCGCACTTGAGATCCCTGTGGATGATGGGCGGCTCGTGACCGTGCAGATAGTGTATCCCCTGCAGGATCTGCCTTCCCCAATTCTTGATCGCCTTCATGTCGACGTGCTTGTGCTTCTTCCGGTACTGCCTCAGATTCCCAGAAGTGAAAAGCTCGGTGATGATGTTGATGGTCCTCTTCTCCTCATCGACCCAGGAATTGCAGAACCTGATGATGTTCCCGTGCTTGACCGACCTGAGCACGTTGACCTCCTCGTAGAGCCTCCGGAGTAGGGCCGGCGACTCCGCGAAGTGCTCCACGTCGACCCGGTTCCAAGCGACTTCGATCCCCTGAATTTCGTCGAACGCCTTGTAGACGGTCTTGAAGGCGCCCTCGCCCAGGACCTCGTCGTACCTGCCGTACCTCCCGGACGGGTCTTTCTCCACAAATTCACCGTCCTCGGCCTCCATCAAATCGACCAAGAACCCAAGAACCAACCGCGCGCGCGCCACCAAACGGAAGAGAGAGAGAGAGAGAGAGAGAGCAAAAGGGGCAAGGGAGGGAGAACGAGAGATCAAGAAACCTCGAGGTGGGATGTGCGGGGGATCTTGGGGGGCGGGATGGAGGGGAGCTGCTCGGAGAAGGCCTCGCAGGCGATGGTGAAGGAGTCGAGCGCCGATCGGGGGCGGTGGCGGCAGCGGACGTCACAGAGATTCATCGTCGACGGCCAGAACTCCCGGTTTCTCCGCTGGGTCCCTCCCTCTCTCTCTCTCTCTCTGCAGATTCTTGTCGATGTGGTGGGCGGGATCGGAAGCGGAAGCGGAAGCGGGAAGCGGGAAGCAGGAACAGTGCGTGTGGATATTTGTGTGGATTTTCTTAGGGTTTCGAGGAAGCTATTGACCAGAGGCAGAGGAGGAAGAGGAAGGGGAAGGGTAGATGTATATATATGAGCGTGTGTAGCGCGTTTGGATGGTAAGGCTTATCGGTTGGCTTCGACAGGTGTTGGAAACTCCGAGGTTCATCCGATCCCCGAGTGCAATTCTGAAAAGTCAACGCCCCCGAGCTACACAAGGGCAAATCTCGATTTAATTTGATTTAATTTCGCATTTTTTAAATATTTTTTTTATCCGCTTTATCTTTATTAAGACGTCGGATAAACTCGACCTCGTGTAAAATTGAATTATCAAATCTCGTGAGCTATTTATTGCTCGTTTAAACTGGATTGACATGAGCGGAATATATTTAATAAGTTTTCCTATATCGTGCGCTGCTGATAACCATACAATTACATGCGATAGGTGAAACGTGTGCTTTCTGCGTTTCTTGCACTTTTAAAATGTTTTATCCTTTTTTTCCCTATTTCTTTTGTTCGTTATTAAAAGGAATTCTTTATAATAGTCTTCCGTTTTTTATTTATATTTTATGTTTCCTTTGCATAAAAGTCTGTTTACTCGAATGCTCTTTTCTCTTCTTGTACTAAAGAGCATTCTTTCCATTAAAGTTAATTTGTTTACGCATAAACCGAGCACACGTCAAAAAGTGCCATAAGTTTAGATTTCGAGTGTTGTAAGCTTTCTCTCTCTATATATATATAAAGATAATTAGCCTATTGGCGAGTTGGAGTCACTTTAATCACGTTGCTACTAAAGTTCCTGTATGTTTGGAGTTAAATATAATAAAAAATTTATTTCTTCCTTTTTCGTTAAAATCTTAAAATATTAATAAAAAAAATTATATGCGCTTTTCCGCAGTCAATGATGCCATCAGTCAGGACTCAGTAGGGATAACTGCAAACAGTCAAGAGTCTCATCATGCACGCGACGGATTCTTGCCTTTTCAGGTGACTGTTTTTCGCTCCGGCATAAGGCTTCCGGTGCTTCTTGCTCGAAAAACCCATCTCGCCATCCCCTTTCTGTGTGCCCGACCTCCGTGCATCCCCATCGTCGTCATCGGCGGAGTCGCCGGCACTGACCGAGCCTACCATATCTGGCTGAACGACGTCCAGATCTGGCCTTGCCTATCTCAGTCTCCAGATGCCGACCAGATCTGGCCGGATGATGATGACGACAGCCATGGATGAGTGACGACATCGCTTGTGAGCGTGGCTCATGTATGGCCGGCGACGCTACTGTCGATGTCCGCCACCATTGTCGTCAATGGCCCTAAAGCAAAAAGAAAGCCGAAGAAAAGAACAAGAGAAGAGATAGTAAATGCGAGAAAGAAGAAATGAAAAGTGGTTCCCATTGGGAGTTAAAGACTTCAAAAACCAGAGCCAAATGACCATTCTAGTTAAACTCGGCAAATCACAAACACAAACATGCCTCGATTGTCCTTAGTTCAGAAATTTCAAGACCTATAGGCCAAGCCCATGAAAGTTGCCTGAAATATATAATTCACTGCAACATGTCGATTCTGGTTAATGTTGAGAGATAATGCATGATATCAGAAACAGGTACCTCTGGCTTACTACGGTTTTAGATCACTTGCTTGTTTACACCCTCACGATCTTATTAGTTTCTTAACAATCAGGCTGGCCGTTCTCCAGTTTTTAAGGCAATGCTCACGAGCCAGATTGGAGAGTGCCACACTAGCACGATCCTTATAAAGGAGGTGTCACACGGGGCACTTAAAGCATTCGTCGAGTACCTCTATTATGTTGAGGTATGTATGGATGAACAACTGGCTCGGAAACTATTCGTGATGGGGGAGAAATACGACACAACGCACCTCAAGGTTTATTGCGACAAATTCCTAGTGTCGAAGCTGACATAGGAGAGCTCTGTGTCGGATTATGCCTTTGCGCGCATGCACGAAACCCAGCTTCTCCTTGAGGCCACCGAGTCCTTATATATTATCAGAGAACTATCATAGTGTCATAATTCATCCAGACTATTCAGGATGTTGTTCTCTTGTACAGCCGGCACCCTAGGATGTTCAAGACCCTGTCTCTCTCTCTCGCGCCCGATTCTAGAGCAATTAATCTAGGCTGACGTCCTTTTGGTTATGCACAAAATTTTCATTCACCGGATTACTCGGCTTTTAATCTTTTGCACTCATATTGGCAGCTATGTACATGACTCTCTAGACAAGAATACAGTTTCGTGCTTTAAACTAGCTTTACGAGAATCTTATGTGAATGTTCAGTTTATGATGATTTGTTTGATTGTTGTAGTATGAATCTCTGAATTGGCATCCACTATGTTTGGCTAGATTGAGAGAATTTCTGGAGGTTTTCTTGATTAGCTTCACTCTAGAAAAGTATGGGCATTCTTTATTCTATCACGACTTCAAAGATTAAACCTGAGCTTTTGCTCTCCAGCGTTCGAGCTTCTGGCTCTCCGGCGTGCTTCACCTTAGCTGTTAATCATGGGTAAATGAGTTTAGTCGAGTGGAGTCGATCTTGAGTATGGCATTGAGCCGAGTTCAGACACATAGTGCAAGCAAGACTCAATCGAGCTCAAGTTGTTTGAACCGTGAGAATCAGCTTGATGCTAACTGTTCTAGTCATTGGGTTCCATTCGGAGTACGGTGAGTGAACTTATGCATAGCTGACACAACGATTGTATGTAATATTTTCTCGATGATAAGACTTAAAAACCCAGAGCCAAATGACCATTCAAGTCAAACTCAGCAAATCACAAACATAGGAAGGGCACACGAACATGCCTCCGACTGTCCTTAGTTCAGAAATTTCAAGACCTAAAGGCCAAGCCCATGAAAGTTGCCTAAAATATATAATTCACTGCAACTTGTCATCGCTGGATTCTAGTAAATGTTGAGAGAGAAAGCATGATATCATATCCCCTACACAAGTGCTGAATCATTCTCAGTCAAAAGCAGAGGATGAGTATCCAATCACTAGAAACAGTTAGCATCCAATGACTAGAAACAGTTAGTTATTAGTATTATCTTTTCAATCAATTAAAGCAACGAGAGGAAAAAAGTGCGGAAAATGATGCTGCAAGCGTGTCATGTTAGCTCCCTCTTCGCTTCATCGAGGTAGGCCATTAGAGTAGAAAGCATGGCCGAACGATTCTGCTCTTAACTCCTTAAGTGACCAGTCCTTCTGGACTAGAGAAAAAACATCCATGAACAGCCGCTTCTGGTTTAAACTAGGGTACTGGTTTCATGGGGGGATTGGCATTCCAGGGGAGGGTCTAACTTAGCTGATACAAATAGTAAATTCAAACTTGATCCAGCCCATATATAAACTCGATGGAAAGCAACTTGAGCTTGATTGACTCTCGCACTATGTGCCTGAACTTGGCTCAATGCCATACTCAAGATCGACTCCACTCGACTAAACTCATTTACCCATGATTAACAGCTAAAGTGAAGCTCGCACGCTGGAGAGCCAGAAGCTTGAACGCTGGAGAGCCAAAAGCTCAGGTTTAATCTTTGAAGTCATGATAGAATAAAGAATGCCCATACTTTTTCTAGAGTGAAGCTAATCAAGAAAACCTCGAGAACTTCTCTCAATCTAGCCAAACATAGTGGATGCTGATTCACATATTCATACTACAACGATCAAATAAATCAATTACTGATCACGAACTGAACATTCACATAAGATTCTCGTAAAGCTAGTTTAAAGCACAAAACTGTATTCTTGTCCAGAGAGACGACAGCATTGAAGGGCAATGACACAGCGAAAAAGAGCAAAAACTGATGAAAAAATAGCAAGATCATTCAGGATGTTCTAAGCATATACAATATTTAGTGAAAGACTTAACACTAATCTATACTTACCTCCGATATAATTTTACCAATGTAAGATTGATAACACACCCATGCAGAGGCCAGAGAAGATACAAGCACATGATTATGCTAATTTCTCGTATTTCCTGAATATCTTATGTCTCGATTATCCACAATAGACATACAAATAGCAATAAGATAGGGCTGTTATATTGGTTCATATCAACAAGTTATACTAGTATAAACAGACTACTGCATGACAAGTCACAAGCATTATTTATCTGGGCAGAGTCCTGCTACCATCTTAGAGAGAGAGAGAGAGAGAGAGAGGGGGGGGGAGAGAGATAGAGAGAGTTCAAGCGCCACACTGAGCCTTGGCTGAGTAATTCGGTACACCTCCAAAGCTATTATTCGGCATACGGCTAAGCCAGTGACAGTCTTCAAATGAGCAACTGGACCCATAACTTGGCCACGTCACATCAGCTGGCTTGATGAAAGTGGGTCCCCACGCAGGGGTCCCATCTTCATAGGAGTTATGGGTCAACCGCCTCAAATCAGAGCCGTCCAATTTTATCGTGAAGATCTCACCATAAGGTTGATAGTGATGAGAGCTTGAGATCGGCTCAGCTGATACTGCTCCATAGTCCGATGTAAACACTATGCTCTTCCCATCCGGGCTGAAGTACGGATGGTTAGCCCGCCCACCGGAGATGCTCGGAATCAATTTCCTCAGCCCAGTACCATTCGGGTGGATGAGATACAAATTGAAGCTCCCGCTGCCAGGGCTTTCCCGGTCGGATGCG